GATGGATTACATTGATTGTTTTTCTAATGTTGAACCATCCCTGCATACCTGGTATAAATCCCACTTGATCATGGTGAATTATTTTTTTGATACGTTGCTGAATTCTGTTGGGTAGAATTTTGTTGAGGATTTTTGCGTCAACGTTCATGAGGGATCTTGGTTTGTAATTTTCTTTTTTTGTGGTGTCTTTACTTGGTTTTGGTGTCTGGGTTATGCTGGCTTCATAGAATGAGTTTGGGAGTATTCCATCCTTTTCTATGCTCTGAAATACCTTTAGTAGTAGTGGTGTTAACTTCTCTGAAAGTTTGGTAGAATTCTCCAGTGAAGCCGTCCGGTCCAGGGCTTTTTTTTTTGTTGGGAGTTTTTTAATTACCTTTTCAATCTCTTCTTCTGTTATGGGTTTATTTAGTTTTTCTACCTCTGTTTGTGTTAGTTTAGGTAGGTAGTGAGTTTCTAGAAATTTTTCCATTTCTTCTATCTAGGTTTTCAAGTTTGTTAGAGTGCAGCTGTTCATAGTATTGTATTATGATTCTTTTAATTTCGGTTGGGTCTGTTGTGATACCACCCATCTCATTTCTTATATGGGTTATCTGCTTCCTCTCCTGTTTTTCTTTTGTCAGTTTGGCCAGTGGTTTATTAATTTTGTTGATCTTTTCCAAGAACCAGCTTTTGGTCTTGTTAACTCTTTTAATTGTTTTTCTATTCTTTATTTCATTTAATTCTGCTCCAATTCATATTATTTCCTTTCTTCTGGTGCCTGGGAACTTCTTTTGCTGCTCTCTATCTACTTGTTCCAGTTGTAGGGTTAATATTTTGATTTCTTCTTTTTGGATGTGTGCATTTATTACTATAAACTGACCTCTGAGCACTGCTTTTGCTATGTCCCAAAGGTTCTGGTAGGATGGATTTTCATTCTTGTTTGATTTTATGAATTTCTTTATAACATCCTTAATTTCTTTTATAACCCCGTAGTTTTTGAGCAAGGTGTTGTTTGGTTTCCATGTGTTTGCTTTTTTTTCATTGCGTTTTCTGTTGTTGATTTCTATTTTTATGGCTTTAAGTTCAGAAAAGATGGTTTGTAATATTTCGATGCTTTGGATTTTGTTAAGACTTGCTTTATGGCCTAATATGTAGTCTATTTTGGAGAATGTTCCATGCGCGTTGGAAAAGAAAGTATACTTGGCTGCTGTTGGCTGGAGTGTTCGGTAGATGTCTGTGAGATGAATTTGGGTGATTATAGCATTTAACTCTTCCATGTCTTTGTTGAGCTTCTTTCTGGATGTTCTTTCACTGAAAGTGGTTTGTTGAAGTCTCCTACTACTATTGTGGAGCTGTTAGACTTCGTTTTATGTATTTTCAAACCCTTTCGTTGGGTGCATAAATATTTATTATAGTTATGTCCTCCTGGCATATTGACCCTTTATTCGTTACGTAGTGTCCTTCCATATCCTTTGTGGTGGATTTTACTTTAAAGTCTATTTTGTCAGAGATTAATATTGCCACTGCTGCTCTTTTTTGAGTGTTGTTTCCTTGATATATATATA